TAATATTTTAAATTAAAACTTACAGGATAGAGATGGGTACATTTTGATGTACAGGGTTTATTCTGCTTTGGAAGCCAAGCAGACTTAAGTCTTCTTTTCAGCATTCCAAACTAAAAACTTAGAACCATCATATAGCTCTGATCCTTCCCCTTTGTAACCCAACTCACCTATCACCTCCCCTGGGAGGTCATCTCTGAGATGCCCTTCTTCAATGGTTGGCATTCATTCAGCAGGCATACAATGGGAACTGCTTCATATCAACTGCTGGGCTACCTCCTATTAGAGAGCTATAAAGATACATTGTGATGACCTGGTTCCTGCCTCTCCTCTCCCCCCAAACTCCCACCTGACACAGAAATCTCTAAATGTTGGGGTCATACCTTATTCCATTTTATATTTCCTGTGCTGGGCACTGGGCCTGACCCACAGCAGGGTCCAGAAAATATTTCCATGTCATGTGGAAAATTCTCGTGTGGTATTTTGGGATAATACTTCTGAAGAATTTCCAAGTCCCACTGTGTCTCTATGACTATAAACAGACAATGTGCTATATAAGTTCTGCCCTAATTTACTACCAGCTAGAGGGTGGGAAAGACCCCAGGGTGAGCATGGAACTGAGGAGACAGGTCCTGTTCCATGCAAGAACCAGCATGCTGGGAACTGAATAGTTCTACACAGTTCTCCCTAGCCTGAATTTTTTGTTTTTTCTTTCAGATACTCACAAAACTTTTATTTTATTCATTTACATGCAGTGCTGAGAATTGAACCCAGTGCATCACGTATGCTAGGCAAGCGCTCTACCACTGAGCCACAACTGCAGCCCCCTAGTCTGAATCTTGATTAACAAGTAGCAGCTTTACCCTTTAAAATTGCAAAACTGTCCTGAATTCCCGGAAAGGCAGATATACCAGGTGAAGACAGAAGGGGGAATGGGGCAGAAATCACCTGGTCATGTGAAATAACTGCTAAGTCAGAATGGCTACCTCCCTGTTTTATTTTTATTTTTTTTGGGGGGGGGAGTGGTACTGAGATGGAACCCAGGGCCTCATGCCTTCAAGACAAGCATTCTAACATTGATCTCTACCCCCAGCCAATACCTCCTTGCTAAGACTGTATCATGTAACATGTACTTATAGAATATTCAACTGTAAAGGTTTCAGAAACTGGCGTCCTAATAAAAAATGCACCAAGTTACACATTCAGGAGAATAACTTGCCAAATGGAAAAAATTCATTAAATTTAACATCATTCAGGTCTTTTCCCACAGGGTCAAGTGAAGTTTACAAAAGCCTACAACTATATACCTCATTGTATGTTATTATAGTGCAAGTGAAAAGCGTCTTTCCTTACATTTCTATTGGTTGAATAGATTCCTCAACCGAAAAAAAAAAGTCCAGGAATTGTTCTCCTGGTAATAGCAGGGATACAACAAAGCAATGCAAGTCAGACCACAGGACAGTCCTCAAGACAGCACTGCAACTGTGCTCCTATCCACTCTCAAAGGATCTGGATGTTCCCTGGAATTCTTGGCTTAGTGGTTAAGAACAACCTCTTAACAAGGCTTTTTTCCCTTATTACAGAATGTGACTTAGGAAAAATGAGGCTTTGGATCTAGAGCATCTAGGTTCAAACTCAGCCACTTGTGGTACAGGCTCCATTATATATCACCCTGACCTTACCCTCTGTATCTGTCAAATGGGGAAAAATTATACTAACTGTGGGAATCAAAACAGAAGTTAAAGTTTTATAATATA